CCGCTCACTTGCGGTTCGGGCACGAAGCTGGAAGATTTGCGCACCAAATGTCTGGCTTTTCGCAGCACTTTCGTCTTGAACACCGCGGCTTTCTTGCCCATCATGGCCCCTGCTTTGGTGAGAACGTCTTCGACCCCACCCCCCTCTGCTTCCTCCAACTGCTGCAGGAAGTCTTGGCCCAGCACCGTGACTCCATCACTAACAGGTACCCGGATGCCCAGTTCCCGCGCTCTGCGCATGTTGGACACGTAGCCCTTCCGGTGGAGGCGCAGTTCCGGATTGTTGATCAGTGTGTACAGGACGTGCCAGTTGAAGGCAGCCGCTTGGCGTTTTCGCTCCCGTTCTCTCACAGCTTCTGAAAGGTTTTAAAACAAAGAGGAGGGTGGTTGGTGGATGTTTTGATGTAGTTTACTTCTTCTTTTCTGTTAAACATCTATTGTCCTTATTTCTCTTCTCATATTATGACTTCATGCAGTTGCGAGCGCCGTAGAACCTTACAAAACTAATGCCATAACTCTCTTCTATCTTTTCTGTGTTGTTACTCTCTTGTAACATCTCCTTTAATCTTTGGCACTTTTGTGACATAACTGTGTTGCAAGTGCCGTAACAAGCTTACTACGCAATAAAACAAGGTAGAAAGTCACCAACTGGATAACCAGCGTGTGTGATGTAGCTGTGAGGTGCTTCTTTGAGGCATGTAAGATATTTTGGTTGGATTCCCGAACGGGAAAAATATTTAACGAGTCTTCCATCCCTCTCAGCTCAGGTTGGTCTTGACAGGCAGAGTCGGAAGCCCGCCTCTTAAATTATCTAAAGTGTCTTGATAGGAGCGTAAAAACAGCTACTTAAAAAAAAACACACACACAAATCTCAACATCAAAAAAGAATGACTTACTCAAAGAGCCAACTTCACCGTCCTTGACCTTCTCGGGGTGCCCGGAAGTGACAATCTCTTCTAGCCCCCCGTGCGGCCACCTGTGTCGTCCCCGTGCCCCCAGAGCACACAGCCTGAGAAAGACCAGCATCACAGGATGGCTCTGTGACATCTCCACCGTCATGTAGCCCAGGTACGCCTGGAAGCCTGGCCCATGTGAGTACACAAGACACAGAGTGAGTGGTTGGTGGGTGCTCTGGTGTTGTGTGCTCCTTCTTTCCTTTCAAACATCTGTCGTCATTATCTCCAGTCCATCTATTTTGTGTTTGTTACTCTCTTTTAACATCTTTAATTAATCTTCGGTACTTATATGACCTTATTGTGTTGCAAGTACCGTAAAACTCTCACAAAAACTTAGAAGACACAAAAGGACATGGTTTTAAGTTTCTGTTTGTTTTTTCAGTGCTTGTTTATTTTGTTGGGTTTGTTTTGTTGTTGTTGTTTGTTTGTTTTTTGTTGTTGTTGTTTGCAGGGGCGAAGCGTCTATATAATCAAATAATCACTGCTTCCCTTTCTAATTTTGAAACATTGTCGCTGTCAAATTCATCCTTAAACGTAAACCTCATAAATTAAATGTCAAAAGACGTTCGTAATCAACAAATAAAGTGAGGCTGGAATAGAGTTGAAGGGAACATGTGCATGGCAGTCAAAGCTGTTTCATTGCCACATACACCCTGTTCACCCCTTTGGGGCCACAGTTAAAATCAATCACAAGCCCTGATTAAGTAAGCTAACTAACACTGGTCGAGTCTACCTCACAAATGTGAGGGGAACTAACTCTTAATAATCTCTTGACTGCTGCTTGTGCTTTTTTTTTTTTCCTCGACTTTTTACCGTCCTATAATCAGATCGTGACCTCGATTATGACACTAGCTCCTGGCCGCGAAAGGCTAACAAAAACAGCCAAATGTGAAATTTAAAAAATAATAATTGTCATGTTCTACCAAAGAGTTAGACTCACTGGTAGATCTATAACATATAGATCTAGTACTGACATCTCTGCTTCTTTGCTTTATGTTTATGTATTCACATCTAAAGTTAAGTTTAATTTTAGTGGGAACTGATATTTAATAAGATACTTTCCCGATTATTTTGACGGTTGAACATACAATATGAATTCCGGATTTGTTTTCATTCACAACTCAGAGTCGCCGCCTCGAGTAAGATTCTTGTGTGATATCTACAGGCCCTATCTGGTCCCATTTCACTTTGATTACCCTGTCAAACAAGTCAGCCTTCGCCCCTGGTTGTTTGTTCTTGTTTGCTTGTTTGTTTTTTATGTTTTTCCGTGTGTGTTTTTTGTTTTGGGTTTTTGTGGGTTTTTTATTTGCATGGGAGATTTATGGCATGTGCAACACAAATACGCATCGAGGGTAAGATGTGTTATAAACAAAGAAAAGAAGGAGGAGAGATAAGAACCGATAGATGTTTTTAAGGAAAAAGGAGTAAACCACACACACGCACGCGCACACACACACACACACACACAAACACACACACACACTCACACACACACACACACACACACACACACACACACACACACACACACACACACACACACACATATATATATATATATATATATATATATATATATATATATATATACATATATATAT